GAGAGCACTTCCTTTTTATGAAATTCTACTTTTTCAAAAAGAAAACAAATTTTCTTCAGCATGGAGTGGTGGTGCATGCCTTTAATCCCAACACTTGGGATGTAGAGGCAGGTGGATCTCTGTGAGATCAAGGCCAGCGTAGTCTATATAGCAAGTTCCAGGCCAACTGTGACTACTGGGAGATCATCTCAAAAAACCAGAAACCCTCAGACAAAACCTTGGTTTTTTTGGTTTGGATTATAAATTTATTAATTGCTGATATCAACTACTTCTAAGAGCTGAGTGGAATTCCACAGGCTTTGTTTTTGACTTTGATTCTCTCAATGAATAAATGCTGCATATTATTACCCTTACTTTACACTTGAGTAGCTGAAACTGAGTGATTTAACCTGGTTAATCATAACATAACACTGATGGGGCTAAGGTTTTGTTCTAATTTCAGGTAGCCTATATTCTGAACTCTGATACTGCACTGCCTGATTTTCTTTCAAAAATTTTAAATGGAATTAGTCTTTAAGTAGCCACAGTCTTGGGCTTTGTTGTTTCTTTTTCTCTGTCATTCAGAAATTTCTTATAAGATAGTTTATACAAACTTCTTCTCCAGAAACACTGAGGGAAGATATAGTTCTATGTTCTTTTTTCATACTTCCAAATTTGGTAGAAATGTTCCTTTAAAATGACCTGTTGATCAATTTATGGTATGATCACTCCGTGGGTTAAAGTTCCTGATGAAGTTCATGAGAAAAGTTGTTTGTTGACCAAGAATTAGAAAATAATTCTCAAATAAGATCCGGGATTGTGGATTTGGTTGTTTAATCTGTGCTGCATTCACTTTATGAAAACTTCCTTATAGACATTATTGACTATCAGGTAAACAGTGTTGCTACCTGACTTTCCTTCCATCATCTCTAGCGAGTCACTGCTGAGATGGTTTCTCTTTCTCACCTTAATGCTGCCTTCCTGTCTCCTTGAACCTTTTCATTGCTTATCTTTTTGATAAGACGTTTCAGACAAAACCTTTTTTTAAAAAATGTAAAAATTGTTTACTTCCATGGAAAGACATCCAGAGTAGACCAGACTACTGAATTTCCTTCCCTCTCCTGCTGGTCCTCACCTCCCACCAGCTCCAGAGCTTTCTACTTCATGAAACTGGCCCCCTCCCCCAAAACCTCCAGCCTGCTTCCCGCTCTGCTTAGGAATGCTCCTACAACTAGTTTCTGTGTAACCAGGTTTGACCTTCATCCTTCACTGACTTGCAGCACCTCTGCTGTACATCTCTGCACTCCACCTGTTATCCAATTCTCTAAGAAAAATCTAGAAATGGCCCCGAAGAGACAAACGCCAGTACTTTCAAGCCGCCTCCATGATGGACTTTGGTGGAGGTCATATCCGTCATTGCTGCCATGCCAGAGTTGTAGTCCTCATGTTTTCCAGCTTAAATCTAGATTTTCCCTAAAAGGCAGGGGGTGGATAGTCTTAAATACAGCCACAGTGCTCATGAGAACACTGCTTTCTACTTGTAATGAAGATTTAAGGGAATGTGGACACACATAGAGAACATATAACCACACATACAACACTACATACATTTTTTAAAAAGACTTGTTTGGGGGGAAAATGATGCAAGAGGCTATGTGAACAGATCTTGAAGTTATGCAAACAAGTTGAGTGCACACCAAAGTGTACATACGACTGTTAGGGTGACAAAAGACTTGGGACATTGGTTATTTAATATCTAATCAATGCCATCTAATCCTTTGCTACATGGACTTGTACATCTTAAGTTAACATATGCAGTTCATACGGATAAAAACGTCACAGGAAACAAGAAGAGATGTGAGAAGGGAGGCAAATGAAGTCATTGTTCGCTCTACAGTCGACATCACAGAAACTCCTCAACTCTTGTGTTTTAGTTTGTTTTCTGTTGCTGTGATCAAACATTGACCAAAACTGACTTGGGGAGGAAAGGGTTTATTTAATTTTTCAGCTTACAGTTCATCATCAAGGGAAGTCAGGGCAGGAACTCAAGTAGGAACTTGGAGACAGAAACTAAAGCAGAGACCACAGAGGAACACTCTCACTGGCTTGCTTCCTCTGGCCTGCTCAGGCACCCCTCCTATATACTCCAGGCCCACCTGCCCTGGGATGGCACCACCCACAATGGGCTGTGCCCTCCTACATCTACCAGTAATCAAGAAAATGCTCCATAGATGCCCACAGACCAGCCTGGTATAGAAAACGCCTCAATTGAGGTTCCCTCTTCTGAGATATCTCGTTTGTGTCAAGTTGTGGATGTCAAGCTCTCAGAATATTCATTCCCCTGCCTTCCACTTCCTGTCGTGGCCTCAGATTTGGGGCCCTGCATGGTGTCTCGATTCACCAGTCTTGTTATTTGGTTGGTTGGGAGACAAGGGGCTGGGTGGGGGGGGGGTTGACTTGGTGTGAGCAGAATTGAGCCTAGCAGAGGAAGTGCATGGCAAGTGTCAGCACCCCATCTAGGGATTGCTATAGAAGCCTCAGCCAAGGCAAAAGGGTTTTCTCTCCAGTGGTTGAGATTTGCCTTAAAGGGCTGGGAATGGATGTAGCTCGGAAGTAGGCATTATTCTTGAATGTTCAAGGCCCCCAGCACAGGCCATAACCCTCTCCCCAAAAAGTTAGAAGACATGAAACTGATGAAAATCTAGCCTCTGAAGACCCATCCCTTTAAGAACTAGAGTTCCAGAAAGAAATATGAAATGTAATCTTTTACCTAGATGAGGGGCACAAGATGGCCAATGACAAAACTAGAGTTTGTTGGCCAGATAAAAGATTAAAGTATCTGCCGGACGTGGTGGCATGCCTTTAATCCCAGCCCTCAGGAGGCAGAGGCAGGTGGATCTCTGTGAGATCAAGGCCACCTTGGTCCACATCGTGACGTCCAGGTGGGCTGGAACTAGGAAAACCCTGTAAAAAAATAAACAAGAAAAAAAACCCAAAATTAAAGTATCTCTTCTGTGTACAACAAGCCTAGTAGTTTGGAAACTGAAATGTCAGCTCTTTTAGTGGCCTAGAGGGCATCAGCACAGTGTTTTGAATCAAACACTGGCCAGGATTAGGGATATTTCCTGGGCATATGGGTTTCATTGTTTCCATTCTGGGCTGGGGCCCTTGTCCCTGTATCCCACCAGATGAGGACTGCTCCCAGAGAGGCCGGGTCTGTCCCAAGTGGATGAGACAGTTTTTAATTCGGAGCACGTTCTACGTGGAGCCTATACAGAGGCTGTCTTCAAGGCTTGGTGTTTTGCATATAACTTTAAAAGGTGTGCTCATAGCAATACTAATCGGAAGTACTAATTTTCATGGCAGTGCAGTGTGGCTCTTTCAGGGATCATTCCTTTATTCACTAAAGCTATTTCTTTTTTTGTTGTTGTTGTTCTTTTTGAGACAGCGTCTCCCTGTAGCCCCAGCTGGCCTGGAACTCACTTTGTAGATCAGGCTGGCATTGAACTCACAGAGATCCACCTGCCTCTGCCTCCTAAGTGCTGATACTAAAGGCATGCCCACCATGCCTGGCTCTATTATTTCTTATTTAATACAGTACATAGAAAGCCCTGACTTGGCAGTGGAACCCCAGTGATGACAGATATGGTCCCTGTGGAGACTGAAAGACAAAAAAACAAAACAAAACAAAAAAAACCCAAAAATAATTTTTTTTAAAATGGGAGGAAACAAAACTGAGTGTGAAGATAAAAAAAGAAAAGTGACCCATTCTTCAGGGATGTGAGGAAGACTTTTATAAGATCTGAAGTGTGAGCAAAGGAGCCAGCAAAGAAGAGGCAGCCGGGGATAGTGCTCCACAGGAGGATTCCTACAGACCCAGAGGTGGGAGAAGACCAGCGCAGCATTGGGTAGACACACAAGTGATTGGATAATAAAGGACAAGTGGTTCACTTGGACTCTCTCCATTGCCTGTGTTATATTTTGGAGGCAAGTGACAGATGGTCAGCTAAGGAAACAACTTTCAGAATCAACTACAAGCACTCTGGCAAAGGAAGAAAACTGCTGTTTGCTCCAATTATTTATTTTCACACGCTGATACTTCCAGAGAAAGGACTGCTATGATTTGATGCTAATTACATTGAGAGAATCATTTCCAGCTCACGAAGGGCAAAGTTTCTAGATTTGCAGTTACCATGGTAGCATGGAATCCTATATGGCTAAGGGGAAATGGAACTGATCAGCCTAGGTTAAAATGCTGGTTTTCCATCTTACCAATGAACTGTGTGTCCTCCGGCATCACTGCATACCGCCTCCTGTGTGTAGAAGGTTGTGAGGGGCATAGTGACATCGAACACTTAGTACCTGAGGAGTGCTTTATAGCGATCATTTACTGATTAGTGTGTAAAAAAGGAACCACCATCCCATTGCTTTGCTATTGCTTTTGTTAGCCTAAAACAAGTTGTTCTATAAGTGTTTCACATGTGAGACTAAGCTCACTAGAGCATACAAACCTTTAGTTCAAGTCACTAGCATGATGTCTAATAATACGGTCATAGTTGTTGAGGTAAGCTATGTGCAGGGAACTAGGTGATGAGTGTCACAACAAACACTTGGTAACTCTCAGGTAAGAACATCACAAGTATTTGCTATTTCTGGGGAAAATTATTTATGACAGGTCTGGTAGCTGTCTACCCCAAACTCACTCATGGTGAATACTATATGCAGAACATGTAGAACAGCATGACTGAGGGGGCACCAGCCCTTGACTTACTTTCTCTGGACTTACTGCTGAGTCAAAGAAACTGCTATTTGAACTTCTATAGTTGAAGTTCAATTACATGCAGCCTCATTAATTCTAATGAAAAGGCCAGAGTAGCCTTCCCTGGTAACCAGGGAGTGTTTCTTAGCCAGCCCAAAGCAAAACTGCTTAGGTAACTGTCTATCGGATTGGATGGTCTCATTGCCCTTCAGTTCCTTCCTGGTATTGGGCATCATGAGTAAAACTATAGAATGGGAGGGGATTCTTCAAACCCAATTTTATTAGAACACTAATAAAAAATCCACACAATGAAAGGAAGACATTCAGAATCACTATGACAGACCAGGCAGATTAGTCAGGAAAAAGTTCTCCAGTGTATATAAAATGTAAACATCTGCCCTGGCATTTCCCACAGGGAGCACAGCCCACAAGAACTTATTTGGAACAAAAGTAATGTCTATTGAATTCCCAGTATAGGTTTTGACATCTGCAGACTTCTCACATTAAAAAGTTAAAATTGCTACCACACCCCAAACTTTCTATGCAGAAAAGTAAGTGGCTCCCAATCAAGGCAACATGAACATCAACCAGAGCATGTGGAAGCAGAGAACAGAAGAGCATTAGCCTTCCGACAGTTAGTCCATGCTCACCATACTAACTGTATTTACATTTACCTTGAAAGAGTACAAAAATATATAGCATAAAACCCTTATTGAGCCACAGGCAGGAGAGGAAATATTTTTTGTTTTTCAAATGTTCCAGAAAGAGGCATCAAATCAGTCTTTTTAATTTAGGGAGAAAGGACTAGGAAGAAGCCCTTTTCTGTTGGGAAAATGGGGACTCATAGACCTCCATGGGTGGGCAGGTGCAGACCAGGTGCTGATCTCCATAAATGTCATCAATCCGAGCAATGGTTGGCCAGAATTTGTTCTCTGGTTTCACAAAGGGCTGAAAAGGAAAAGATGAAAATTCTGGATGTTCTGAATCTTCCCCCTTGGGACAAAGAAAGGAAGCTATCCTCATATCACCACAGCTATCACTGGCCCAACAAGACTAAAAACCCATACTTTTCATTTACTTTGGGCCTCCTGCTTAGTGTTCCTCCTCTGTTTCTATGGGTTCCTAGTCCTCTGATTGAGCTTAAACCCATGAAGGGAGATGGGAAGATGGCAGAAGGCCATCTGCTCTATGTTTCTCATCACAGTCCACATTTCACAAGGCATTCCCATACCATACATGGTTTGAATGATGAGACTAGATGTGGGAACCCTGCAGGAATAGAGCGGCCTACACACATGAATGCCTTCCCTGTTGGCACCATTCAGGTCAAAGGAGAACTTACCAGTGGAAATGCTGCCACCTCTCTGGAATATGGCCGATCCCAGTGGGAGGATGTGACACAGGTCAAGGAGTGTGGAGACATCTGACAGAGACATAGGGCAGAGGGAGGGTCAGGTCCAAACAATGTGCTGCCACACAGCACAATTTTCCCACACGTCAGCCAGCCATTCAGCTGAAGGAAGCCCACAGAGAGGAAGCTATTATTTTGCATAAATCTACAGGGGGATGGTTTATGAGGAAATATTTCAAATAGTAGAAAAATGAGTAATAATCTGAGCATATCTCCACCCAGTAATGTCAAATGACATTTTATATTTCCTTCATCATTAGAAGTAAAACATAATAGGTGTGCACATACCCTCTCTGCATCTCTGCTTGCCCTCTGCCCCAGTGAAGCCCACTTGTGCTTGCTTCTCTGGTCCCCACAATGCACCTTCACCAGGCAGTTTCAAACCTGCCTCAAGATCCTGTTCTCTGGCTTTATGTCCACAGACTCAACTGTGGCCCTCACAGTATTCTCTATCGCTGTTCCTTCTGAGTAATAGTTACAGCAAAGGACTTAGGACTTTGATCAGATAAAAGGTAACATATTTTGGGAGAGGAGGGTTAATGCTCAGCTTTTATCCAGCATGGGCCATGAACACTGCAAAACATCCAGGCTGAACCAAACACCAATTCAGTTGTTCTCAGGTCACTGTGCCAGTATAAGAACTGGTGTTTATATAGAGCAGATGAAGGAAATAAATGAATTCTATTTGTGGCATACTCTTACTACAGTGCATCAAACAGTAATAAGAATCCCCTATTTAGATAGAGCATCCTTCCTCCATTCTCTCCTTTAGCAATCAACTGGGTGCAGGCGGGCTACACAGCCACCACAACCAAGTACACCTGAGTAACCACTGCTGTGTTTCCCAAGATGATGTAAATTGCTAGTAACTGCATCTTCTCAGAACCGTTTCAGTCTAAGCAAGAATCTTCATAAGAGAGTGCAGGAGTGGCCAGTGCATACCCTTCTAGTCTACGGGACATTAGGAGTAAACTGCACTCACCTTCAGGGGGTTGACCCTAGGGTCAATGCGACCTTCCTCTATGTCAGCAATTTCCTGCCGGATACTGATCATGGCATCACAGAACCTGTCCAGCTCTGCCTTGTCTTCTGACTCCGTGGGCTCAATCATGAGAGTTCCCGAAACAGGCCAGGACATGGTAGGGGCATGAAATCCTGTGAAGGGAGGTAGAGTAATAAGACTTTGGCATCCTCAGATTGGGAGAAAAGGCCCTCTCCACTACACTTTATTCTAGGGAAATCACATCAATTTGTACAGATGTACATACAGGGAGATTCATGGTATCAGTGTTTACAGAGGAACTTAGGAAATAACCTAATATCTAACAATGGATTAGTTAAGCAAATTTCACAAAAAAGCCTCTATAATAAATATGCAACCACTCAAAAGTACATAAATTTATAATTATTAAATCTGGCAACAATTTCTAATTAAGGAAAAGAAGCAGGCTTTATAATATTGCATTTAAAACTTAACTAATTTTTATTTATTTATTTTGGTCTTTTTGAGACAGGGTCTCCCTGTAGCCCCAGCTGATCTGGAACTCACTATGTAGACCAGGCTGGCCTTGAACTCACAGAGATCCAACTGTCTCTGCCTCCCGAGTGCTGGAACTAAAGGTGTGTGTCACCATGCCCAGTTATTTTTATTTATTTTTTTAATGTGTATGAGTGTACAGCACACAGAGGTCAGAGGAGAGCATCAGATTCCCTGGAACTGGAGTCACTGATCGTTGTTAGCTACCATGTGTGTGCTGGGAATCAAACCCAGATCCTCTACAAGAGCAGTCCAGTGCTCTTAACTGCTGGGCCATTTCTCCAGGCCTCATAATATCACAGTTTTATAAAACAGACAGTATATAATAATGTTTTTTTTTTTTTATGAGGGAAGATATTTTGAAGAATATGTACTAAAATCTTAACAGGTTATAATGAGATTAGATTGGGATTTTCTCTTCACTTGGTGTTTTAGAATTTTTCTAGACTGAAGGTGTTGATCAGTGGCAGAACACATGCTTAGCATTCATGAGGCCTTAGGTTCAAACCCTAGCCATAAGCAAATCTTACTGTCCTCATTTTACACTAGGAACTAAGACTTAGTATGTGAGAATGATGCAGATCTAGGCTGGTTCTATTTCCTAATTATTGTGAATTTTTTTTGTGTGTGTGTGTGTGTGTGTGTGTGTGTGTGTGTGTGTGTTTGCCAAAAACAGTATAAGCACACATGAAGTTTCTGTGTTTCAAAAAGTTTTCACTGGTAAGATGAATAATGAAACAAAAACATGATCAAAAAAGAGATTTCGGACAAAAGAAGACAGCTTTTCTCCGTTTCTCACGTTTGGGTGCGCTGGAGTCCTGGAGACAGCCCAGGACCTCACACCTCCAGTGCAGATTTGCACTTAACTGTATTCCCAGTCCCTCTCTGAAACTTAAAAGAAAAAAAAAAATCTGATTTATTTTCTTTTTTATGGGTATGTAAGAGCACCTGTGTTGTGCAATGCCCAAAGATGTCAGAAGAAGGTATTGGGTCCCCAGGAACTGGGGTTATGGACGGTTGTTAGCCACCATGTGTGTGCTAGGAATTGAACCCAAGTCCTCTGCAAGAGCAGCCAGTGCTCCTAACCACTGAGCCATCTCTCCAGCCCCCTTATCTTTTTTTTTTTTTAATATAATTTAAAGTACATTGTAACTATCTGTGTATTTTACTTTATAAGAAGTTCAGGATGTCTACCATTAGAATGAATTCAATATCCACCCATTTTGTAATAAAACTTACAGTGACATACACAGATTTTGCTGAACCATTTAATGGGCTTTGACAAAAGCATATATACCTGTTCCTCCTAACCAGCAAGGGATTGTTTTGAGTTTTTAAGCGTGAACTGATCTCATTACTCATTAAAAGCTGCCCTCAATTCACTGTGTGAGCAAGTTCAATCCAACATACTCTGTTTTAGTGCTCACACATCTGGGATCATCCAAGGAGTTGTTATAGAAACACAGACTCCTGGATCTGCATCCTGACTTGGGACAGTCCAGGGTAGTTCTGAGCCTTAAAATCTCCCGGCATATTTGGAAAATTCAGAAATATCTGTCCAAAGGTGTTCCCCACATGGAGAGGGTGCCTGGTTAGTGTGCTTGCTAAACACTCAGGTGGCTAAGCCTCTTCCCTGAAAGCCGGGATCCAGTGAGCCAGGCTAAGACCCAGAACCTTTGCTGTCAGTTTCTTTGTATGTATAGCTGTTTATTCAGACTCACTTCTAAATACATACATGTTGAGTGCCTGTTATATGCCAGGAAAATGGACAATTCTGGGTTTTAGACAAGTGTGGAAATTCTTCCATCAAACATCAGAATAGACTTAAAGTCAATCCTCTCCCGTAAATGTACTACAATGTGGCACAGATAACATACCCAAGGAAGGTAAGCCCTGACCTCAACTGGCCATTACTTAGACCCTGGAGGGAAGTGAGTCAGGGAGAAAGGAAAGAAGGGAGGGAGAGAGAGAAGAAAGGAGGGAGGAAGGAAGGGAGGGAGGAAGGAAGGGAGGGAGGAAGGGAGGGAGGGAGGGAGGAAGGGAGAAAGAAAGGAAGGAGGGAGGGACGGAGGGAAGAAGGAAGGAGGGAGGGAAGAAGGAAGGAAGGAGGGAAAGAAGGAGGGAGGGAGGGAGGGAGGGAAGAAGGAAGGAAGGAGGGAAGGAAGGAAGGAAGGAAGGAAGGAAGGAAGGAAGGGCGGATGGATGGGTGTTGTTGCCAACTTACAGGGATGCCAAGAGAAGACTGAGCAGCCGATTGTTAATCTCATTAATAAACACTTTCTCTGGCTTTCCCACTTACTGTGTGTAGCTATAATAAGCTCATTCATTCAAGAGGGGAGGGAATAACAAGTGGGTCTCTCAATATGATGCAGTAGTAAAACTGTTCAAATTTTTTAAAATTCACATTTCTTCTTAAAACAAGTCATTAAATTCAGAAAGCACTCCACATCTATTCAAAGGCAAAGGGGCTGGGAGATGGCTCACATAGTATAAAGCACTTGCTGTGCAAGCATGATGACCTGAGTTCTGGTTCCTATGTAAAAACGAGGTGCAGTGGCACACATTTATAACCCCAAAGCTGGGGGTGGAGTTGGGGGAACCAAGATAGATGGATCCCTGGAGCTTGCTGGCCAGCCAGCCTAGCCAAATTGATAAACTCCAGGTTCAGTGATAGACTGTCTCAAGAAAAAAAAAGTGAGGGTGATAGAGGAAGACATTTGATGCCAACTTCTGGCTTCTACATGCATGTGCACACATGTACATGTACACAAACATACATACATATACACCATAAACACACACAAAAGCAAAGTTCCCTCCACTTTAATACTTCTGAAATCTGAATGATTCATGATGTGACTTATTTTGATAAAGACTGTTAAATTAACCCCCACTAATTCATAGAAAAGAGGTCTAGGCCTTTTAAAATGCTTCAGAGAGAGGCGTATGTTTTTTGTGCAAAGCACGTATCTGTTTTGTCATCTCTGGAAGCAGCTGAAATAGCTACACCATGTCCAAGGTGTTACAGTACGCCAGTGCCACTGGGCACTACATTTCTGCAGGTGACTTCCCTCCTCACCGCACCAGTGTACCTTTCCATGAACCCAGATGGTTTACCAGGCCCAGATTAGGAGTAAGAATAGACCAGAGACATAGTTAATGAATCATAGCAGTCATTTTCTTTGGAAATTAAATTTTAACTAGATTCTTCTTCCGTGTTTGACACAGTGCACGTGTTGACGTCTTTCAAAGGGCAGGACCGGTGTAACAGGAAGGGAAGCATTTTTCATTATGTTTTCAAAGGCTTGTCAGTCAGTCTAAGTTCCCCCATTTATCCTGTGGCTTAGATTACTGTGTGCCTGCACCTTCCATTTGTACTTTGGCGAAGTGGTCCAGAGCTTTGCAGGGACAGTTGTATCAATGTCAAAACTCACCATAATCCTGGAGCCTCTTGGCAACATCCACAGCCTCAATATTGGCAGACTTTTTGAAGGGTCTTGTGTCCAAAATAAATTCATGAGCCACATACCCTGTTGGGGAAAATTATGTCAGCTCAAGATGATCACCAGCTTGCTGTTTCACCCACTGGCAATGCCTAGTGGAAGTGGGAGGTATCATTGGAACATCTGACATGAGTCATCTGCAGTTGGGGTATCTCTACTTGCAATAGTTAAATACAGTTCCTGATCCTCTCATACAAATTATCACTAGAACCCCAAGGGTCTCATATCCCTAGGCAAATGTAATTTCTCACTATGTGCAAAATATGGATCCTTAAGTTTTCAGACAAGTATCCCAGTCACCACCCATCAAAGTAGCTTCTTTCTCAACAGAGATTATTATAGAGTTATACCACCAGTCACACGCAGAGATTCTCTGTAAATTGCCCAAGCCTAAGTGGCACATCTAGGATGCAACCTCTGCACATAAGACTCATGGAATGTAGTAGAACAAGGGATGAAGAGAACACTAATGCATCTTTCAGTTCTCATCAATGAAGCTCCCTCATGCAACAGACGGCCAGGAACACAAAAGGCCACAAATGGCCAAAACACAGATAACAAAAGTCTGCAGAGTCTGGGTCCTTCGACAGGTCACCTATATTTGAGGTCCACCCTCCCAGGGCCCAGGAACCATTGTGGAAGAAGGGGCGGAATGATTGTAAGAGCCAGGGAGGAAGTGTATGACCATACGGAAATAGTCCTACAGGCTCCTGGGACTCTTCTCATACAAACCTACAGCAATGGTATCAGCATGCACAAGACCCACGCAAACAAACTTAGGCAGACAAAAAACAAGCACAGAACTGTGGAAATAAACAGCAATCCCCAATCTTAGTGGAAGAATTATTAGCAGCTGATTACTGCTGGGTGAGGAAGAGCTGATCTTCTTGAAGGGAGAGATTCTAGATAGGCTGACTAAACCCTGGTGGATGAACTTCCACTGAGGGACATCTGGAGACACTAACTTTACATAATAGGTCTTGACACAAATGACAGAATGTATGAACTCCAGTGGGGATGCTACGGGAGTGTGCTAAAGGGGAAGGAGGTATAAAGATGATTTTCTGTATGAAAAACATAAAAATTCAATTAAAAAATAAAATTGTCACTAGTGCTAAAAATCCATTGATCTACTTTAGCGGCTTTACTCATAATAACCATCCTGGGCTTCTGTAAGCATATGTCATATATCGCATATTTGTATATATAGTCACAAGACACGTAGAATTTTATGTGATTCTTCAAAGGTGCTTCAAAGGTTTTTATTTCAGGCTGCAGATCAAGAATTAGAAATAAGCACTGCTAGCCAGATGTAGCGGTGCCTACTGGTAATCCTAGCACTCTAGAGGGAGAGGGAGGAGGATCACAAGGTTTTAGGCCATTTTGGGGACTATGTCTAATAAAAAATGCTTCTCCTAATTATGTGGTTGTTAAATAAATAATTAAAATTAAAAGGGGGGTGGCACACATCTTTCATTCCAGCACTTGGGAAGCAAAGGTAGGTGGATCTCTGTGAGATCCAGGCCAGCTGGGGCTACGGGGAGACCCTGTCTCAAAAAACCCAAAAAATAAATAGATAGATAGATAGATAGATAGATAGATAGATAGATAGATAGATAGATAGATAATAAATAAATAAATAAATGAGGGAGGGAAGGAAGCTCTGCCAAACAAGTAACAAGGAGTTTGTAAGACTGAAATCTGTATGGATCAGTTCACTTCATCCTGGTTTGTAAACAGAATCCTCTCCAAACTCAGGAAGCCATACCCCCAGCAGGAGCTACTAAGTATCTCACCATCAAGAATAAACCAGTGGGAGCTGGAGAAGTGGCTAAGCGGTTAAGAACACTGGCTGCACTTGCAGAGGATCTGGGTTTGGTTGTCAGCACCTACATGCCAGCTAACCCATCTATAAGTCCAGTTCCATGGGATTTGATGCCCTCTTCTGGCCTCTGTCAGCACTGTATGACATTGGCACACTTATATACATACAGGTAAAACTCTTACACACATAAAATAAAAATAAGATGTGTGAAATAAACCAGTGAAAATAAGTGAGCATTTAAACAACCAATCAGCATTCCTGGGAGCTTCCCAATTCTGTGGCCCACAAACTGATGAGTTTCCTTGGAGGAAAGTTTTATTTATAAGATATTAATGCACTCCTTAATGTGCGTTACTTGGCTGAGTAAATGGGTCAGTGAGTAAGAGCACTTGCTTATAAGCATGAGGAGCTGAGTTCAAATCCCCAGCACCTGTCTAAAAAGCTGGGCATGGCAACATGTTCTTGTAACCCCCCAGCATAGGGTGGTAGAAACAGTGGTTCACAAGAACTCACCTAATAAGCTTCCAGTTCTGAGAGAGACCTTGTCTCAAGGCAATAAGGAACAGGCATACCTCACATACTCACATGTATGCACCATACACACCACATATACATCATATAGACCCTCCTCCCTCTCTCTAACGTTTCATTGACTCCTAGCTAACAGTGAATCCACTGACAAATTTTACCAGCTTGTCAAGAACAGTTCCAGTTACTAACAGCCCGATGCTGTGAACCACTTTGCTTCTTTTATAATGAATAAACATGAAGGGACTGCTTTTGAAAGAAAATAAAGTATGAGAGTCTGAGACAGAATACACCAAAACCGCCTATTTTTAAAACTGCTTTCTAACAATGATGAGGATGAACTGGTTAAGAATGAGATTCAATCAACAGTAAAATGTCTATTTCTGGGTAGGTAAACTCAGAAAATGTGTGTCAAAAGGAATAACCATTCGAAGGTTCGAGGGGAAAATCATGAAATTCCCTGAGACCTTATTAACTACTAATTTCAGGAGTCCAACATCAGCTTTGGACCTTTGTCCTCTGAGCTTCCAGCTGACACAGGCACTATGACAATGGCAGGAAGATGGCTAAGGGAGGCTCACCACTCTGAAGGGCTAGTGGCTAGCAGGAGGTGGAGGACCCATGTCAGGGGGTGAAGAATCACATGTTGGAAGGCCTAGAGGAGAATCTTGCAATAGCTGAAAGCCCATCCAGCCAAGTCATCCCAGGACCACTAATCTCAACACTCCATCTGCAGAGGCCCCTGCCACTGCCAAGAGGTTTCCCAAGTGGTTTGGGAAAAACTCCACTTTAAAAATGAGGTTCAGATGTTGTTTTCTGAAACAACACTCTCATTCAGATGGAAACCAGTGAGACTTTAGCATTCCTCTCTCTCTACTCAAACCCTCAGAGATGAAATTTAAACTTGATGGTTGTCAGAGGCCAGAGCCCAAGATGCTTTGTTTGCAGCTTTTAGGAGAAAGCTGCACAAACCTCCATTGGCATATGGTAAATTAGGGCAATTTAAGAAAGAAATACTAAGTTGATCATCTCAAGTAGCTGTTTTCTCTAGGCCCAACCAGGACTTTAGCTGAGAGTAAGAGAAGATACCAAAATCAAAGGAACACAAAAGAAAGGGTAGAAGGCTCAGGGACCATCATGGAAGAAGGGGTGGAAAGACTGTAAGAGCCAGAGGTCAGGGCAGATGGAAACAAAACAGTATCTTCTGGACATGACAGGACCTCTGCACTCATGAACTCACAGCAGCTGTGGACCTGAACAGGATCAAGCCAGTCAACATTCCAACATGAACAGGGAAGGGCTCATAAAGACCTACTGACAGTCCATGGCTTTTGGAGGAGGGAGGGTCAGCTTTCTTTAAGGGTGTGTGGCCTCTACTAAGTCGACCATGCTCCAGTGGATGGGCCACACCTGTGACTATATGGGCATCACAAACTGGACCTGGTAGGCTATATAAAAAGAGGACACAAGGCCAGGCATGGTTGCGCACACCCTTAATCCCAGCACTTGAGAGGCAGAGGCAGGCGGATCTCTGTGAGTTTGATGTCAGCCTGGTCTACATAGCGAGTTCCAGGCCAGCTGGGGCTACAGAAGACCCTGTCTCAAAAAGACCAGAGAGAGAAAGAGAGAGAGAGAGAGAGAGAGAGAGAGAGAGAGAGAGAGAGAGAACACAAAATTGGAAGGGAATGGGAGGGGAGCAGGGCAGAGGGCGGATCTGGAAGGACAGGAGGGGAAGACTGGAGGGTGAATATGCTCAAAACACACTATATGCATGTACAGAATTCTTTTAATGCATTTAAAAACACATTTTATTATTTTTATTTTATGTGTATGCATGTATTGCCTGCATGTATGTAAGTGCACCTGTGTCCTGCAATGCCTGCAGAGGACAGAAGAGGCCATTGAATTCCCTGGAACTGGAGTTTCAGACAGCTGTTAGCTGCTATGTGGGTGCTGGGATTGGAACCTGGGTCTTCCTGCAAGAACAGTCAGTGTTCCTCCCAAGGGCTGGGACTAAAGGTATGCACCATCACACCTGGCATGTATGGAATTTCTAGAGAATAAATTAAAACACCCTTTAAAAAACCAGAGAGAGAGAGCAGGGATAACAAAAAGCAAAATGAAGTGGCCTGGCTCCAAGTTGGAACCACCTCCCCCCAGGTGGTTACTGTCTTTAGAGGCTGAAAACAACATGGAGATGCACTATAGAAAACTGGACTCCCAAAGCCCTCCCAGACAGCACAGACTGGGCCTACTTCCCCAACATCCCCACGGAGGCTGCCTAGGAGCACTTTATTATTTTGTAAAGTTTGGGCAGGCAATCAAAGGTCCTTCAAGCTCTTTTGTGATAACCTGCAGATTGTGACTGACAAAATCAAAACTCCCAGCTGCTTCCTCGGAGTGAGGTCAGGCACTCTGGGTCCCTGGTTTGCTGGTCTGAGTAGGGTAACATATGTGTGGGTCAGACCATCAGGCTGCTGATCATTCCAAAAAGGGCCATCTGGAAACCTCTTCGGGGACAGGAATCTGCAGCAGAATTGGGTTTGACCAAGGTGAACCATGGCCAGGCATGGAGAAACCGAAACGTTAATAAAATACTGATGCTGGCAAAGTCCTGTTGACAGAATGCCATTTGACTCACATGATGAGCTAGCCACCAAAAGATGAGGTGCCT